AAAGGAAGCTACAAGCCAAGGAATATACACAGCCTCTGAAAAGGAAAGAAATCATATTCTTTTCTAGAGTTACCTAAAGGAATGCAACCTTGCCATTACCCTGATTTTAGTTCAATAAGACTTCTGTGTTAGACTTCTGGCCCAGAGAACTGTAATAAATTTTGTTGTTTTAAAAACTACTAAATTTTTGATAGTTTATATCAGTAATAGAAAATTAATACAAGTACCATCACAGAAAGCTATTTTATATAATTATTACAATTATCATTGCCCCCATATAAATTAAGTGCCACAAGTGCTTATCTCCATCATCTTATCTTTGGAGCAGCCTCTCATCACAGCTAATATCATAAGAAAAGGTTCAAACAATTGTGATGTGACTATGTGGAAGGATCCAATACCACTCTGCTTGGCACAATCAACAGATTATTTTATTTTAGAAAGGATACAATTCAACTCCAAAATTACATCCTGAGAGTCTACAATTTAGAACAGGACTCAATAAACTTTTAATGTAAAAAGTCATATAGTAAATATTTTTGGCCTTGAAAGCCATGTAGTCTCTGTCACACATGTTCAACTTTTCTCTTATGGAAAAACCGCAAAGACAATACATTAGTGGAGGAACACAATTGTGTTCTAATAAAACAACAACAACAACAAAAACAGCAGGCAAGATTTCTGACTCATGGACTATATAGTTTCTAATCCCTGACATATGGTAATTAGTATCTTAACCATGGTTCTATAGAAAAAAGCCTGAGACAGACTTAAGAGTTAATATTTCATGGAAAAGCGCAATCCTAGTATTGCAATATTAAAAGAAAAGCAAACTAAAGCAAAGAAGCAACAGTAAGATAATTCATTATCACTCTATTTCATGAGAAGAAGCAGAAAAGATAGAGGTAGTCACTTAGCAGGTATTTCATCAGTATGGACTTACAGGATGTCTCTGAAAGTTTATATTAAAAAAATGATTCAGAATAGCCAAGTGAAAGGGAAGAAAAGAGGAGGAATTTATTTTTGCCAATTGTCTAATACCAGTCAATGATTCTCCACAGGAAGTTCACATTCCCCTCACTTCAGAGTCATGTCATCCCTTTTAGCAACTATTAAGGAAGCCAGATCTCAGGACTTATGTTGTGGCACATCTTCCAGAACCAATGAGAGGAGCCGGAGACTCTGGGTATAGCTAGTCCATTTCAGGAAGGAGTACTGTATGAAGTTAATTAACCCTGCAAAATCCTGAGGTAAAGCAAGCAGCCAAGGGTTTGGGGGATAAGAAAAGTAGAGAGAATTTGAAGAGACATACTCATTACTATATTCAATACTGGTATTTCAGTTCAAGAGCTCCCTTYTCTGTGTGATAGACTAATACACAGTTTCTTTATAAATGATATCTGGGGAGAAAGATGGTCCATCTGCTGATTCTATGATATTATTTCACTTCTGTGAAACACTTCTGTGGAACTTTGTTCTTTCTGTAACTTTACCATCAAGCCTCTGAGGGAACCTTGCCCTCCCAAGTTGAATTTATCCAGAAATGCAAAAAAAAATTTAAATTAGACAATATAATAACATATTTTACCAAATTAAACAATTAAGGGATAGTCAAATCAATACATGTACAAATTCAATACCATTCAAAAATTAAAAGAATACTGGAAATAGGTGAAAACATGAATATCGTAAAATCAAAGAACAGCAACAAATATCTTAATGCTGAAATATTGGAAGCATTTTCTGTGAGGTTAAAAACAAAAGAAAGTTCCCACCAAAGCCATTTATATTCAACACTACGCTACAGTCCTAGCTGGGGAGGGGGGGGGGATGAAAAGAAAGAAAAAGGAAAGAAAAGAAGAAACAACTTGATCACATTTGTTATGCTTTTATGCATAGACTATGGCAGAGAATCTAAAGACAACTATTAAAAACAAAACATTCAAAATATACTTGAATAAAAAATAGTATTTTATACACTAGTAAGAATCAATCAGTATTAAACTGGTTTTAAGAAAAATTAATTAGAGCAATCACTCTCTAAGGTACATAGAATTAAACTAGCAAAAGATACCTAAGACTTATGAACAAAAGTTATAAAGTTATAGAAAAACAAAAATAAATATACAAAACAAAAATAAATATATGTTCATGGATAGAACAAACATGCTAAACATAAATTTTCTCTCCATGTTCAAATTTCAAAAAAAATCTCTACTGGATATTATATGGAGCTTGATAAACTGATCCTAAAATCCATATACAATATAAAGGGTGAGAATAACGAAGATAACTTGGAAGAAGAAAAGGGACCAGCTTACCAATTATCAAGACATTTTGTAAGTGATTATAACAAATAAAGTGTATCACTGATACAATAGATAAATCATGCAATAAAAGAGAAAACCCAAATGATCCACCCTCAAGATGGAAATTTGATGTGTGAATGAAGAGTCTTACAAGTCAGTGGAAAATAGATCCAATAAATGATAAAAGTATATCCCTATATCAAAACAACATAAAATAAATTATATATAAATTTTAAAACTATTTATGAAATGTAAAGGCTTAAAACTGATTAAAAAAAAGTAGGGTTGAATTTTTCTCAGGAATGGAAAGATTTACTAGATATTAAAAAAAAGGTATTAATCAAATGAAAGACAGATAAAATTGAATACATTAAAATCAGAAACATGGGCTGGGTTGTAGCTCAGTGGTGGAGCACTTGCCTTGCTTGTACAAGGCATTGGGTTCAATCCTTAACACCACATAAAAATAAATAAATTAAATGAAGGCATTGCATCCATCTACAACTAAAAGACAATTTTTTWAAAAAAATCAGAAATTTTTACATGATAAAAGATGAAAAAACTGGTCTATAAGAAGTAAAATGAGTATTCAAGGTTATGTTAGTAAGAAGTGGTGCCATGATTCAAATAAATTGCTTTTTGATGTCAATGTTCATTTATTTTACATTCCTTTTAATTTGTAATTACACAATTATCATACATTATATTCTTTCATGAAAATTGAATAATACAAGGAAAATAGAAATACCTTTTACCATTTCCCCCAATTCTAATTTCCAGTCTATTCCCTAGATTTGTATATATCCTTTCAGGCTTTTATTCTTAGGCTTGTGAATATAGAAATATAAGTGCATTGTTTTAGTGGTTTTATACCTAACTGCTCAGAAACTTTTCTCTTAAAAAGGTGTCTTAAGGAGCTTTCCATTATATATGTATCAGCATTCATTTATTCAATTTTCTATTAATAGACCTTTAGACTGCTTTAAATATTTTGTCCCTTAAGGCACATAAACAGTTTAGAGATCTCAAATAGATTTTCTATGTCAAAATGAATAAAAAACATATATATGTTTTAAAAAGTTGATGATGCTATGTTTCCCATAATGGCATATATACGTATTATTTAGTGCCTTTTCCATTACTTGATATTACTAATGTTTTTAACTTTTAATATTTTGTCAAACTTGATGGGGGAAAATGATATATTGTATTTCCCTAATTGTTAGTGAAGCTGTTTCCTCCTTACTTCCAAACACTGCTTTCTACAGGTAATAAATAAAAATATCTTTCATCTTTTTAACTCTTTTCTAGCATACTGACGTTCATATTTCTAAGTATATTTATATTGCTATTTCTTGCCTTATTAGACATTACTATTGATTCCTTACTACAAATGATGAAAATTTAATACAATTTCTTTATATATTCTGCATGTTCATTATTTGCCTATTATATGGGAAATATTACCTCCTAATTTGCTGTCAATCTCTTATTATGATCATCTTGAAAATTTTCATCCTGAAAATTTTTAGGTTTTATGTGTCCCTACTCCATAGTAATAATCTACATGCTATAATTTCCTTAAAATACTTTATGACCTATAATTTTAATGTTTATGTATTTTCTACTCTGAAATTTATTTCTGTGAGCGGCATAAGGTAGAGGTTTACTATTTTTCTTCAAAATGGCTAGTCAATTGGTCAAGATTGATTATTTAATAAGTTAATTATGTATTCAAATACCTTCTCTAAAATGTACAAAACTTCCCAAAATACCTGAACCATTTCAGGAATCTATTCAGATCCACTGGTCTTCTAGTATATCATTGCACCAATATCACACTGTACTTTTTTTTCAAGAATGGAGTCTCTTAAAAACTTACTTTCTCTGATGAATTTTAAAAGTATCTTGTGAATTCTACATAGTACATAAACTCTGTTCACACCTAACTGGAATCTATTCCATTTATGGATCAATTTAAAAAGTCCAATGTTGATATATTGGATGGACTTGCTTTTCAGATTTAATTTTTGTAGGATAACTCATTATCGTAATAAATCTAACTCAGTTTCTATTCTTAAAAATAAACAAAAATCAAACCTACACTAAATAATTTATTAACATTTTCTATAGGATTTAATAAAAATTATGCACTTAAACATATTACTTATAGTGGTAATGATGCTTTAGATTCTTTCATGTTATTAACTTTGTTTCCTTCCCATCAAAGGCAAGTTATGAAATAATCAAGATGAACAGGATTATTTCTGTACTCTGATAACATTTTCTATAATAGTACATATTTATGAAATCAAAATTGGCTAATTTACATTATTTAACATTGGTCATTTATCACTGCCAAACTTTAATAACAGAGACAAATGACATTGATAATCATAAGTTTAAGCATAGAATATTTGAAAATGAAAGCTGTTTTACATGTTACCTTCCTCAAAATTCCACGAGTATTTACCAAACTTAGCTTTAGGTGAAACTCAAGACTTAATTAGGAACCATAATTAGCACAAGTAATCCATTCACTCATTCATTCATTAGCTCATTCATACAGTCAACAAATTTTAAGTTTTAGATTACACTGAATGTTATGAATGCTAGATATTAGACATGAAATAAAAATAAAAAACCTGTTTTCAAGAATGAGTAAAATAAAAATAATAGTATTGTACTCACTTTGCCTTCATCTCTTGGGCTATCACTTAAATGTACAACAGGACCTGGATGAGTCTTGGTGGACCTGTTAAATCAATTCAAAACAGCAATCAAAAAATAAATACTAAAGTACCTGACCATTACACACTGAATAAAGAAAGTAGATTATGATGGAATAAATATGATGCCAATATTCTGGGGTTAAAATGAGATTAATTGAGTTTCGGGGTTTTTTCCACAAAGTTCTGTTCTTTATCCTATTAATGCTTTTGAAGTAGTTGTGATTTTTTAAAAATCAGATTTAAGAACACTGATCCACATAAAAGTGGGACTTTTATTATCTTTTATCTGATATATGTTTCTGAAAGTTTTAAATTATATATACAGCCACAAAGCTGAGTCAATAAATCTGTTTCAAACAACTACAAAGTATGTACCTGATTTCCTTAGACATCAAATCTTTGATTTTGTCCCTAAAGAAAAGTATATTTTGATTTAAAAAGAAACTCACTCTAGTGATAATCATTTTACAAAAAACTTACAAACTGGGGAAACTAGTTTATCAGTTATGTCTCATTTATCTGGTTATCTGTGCAATCAATAACATAATTATGACTCAAYATCACACTATCAAAGAAACTTGTCAATATGACTTTAATTCTCTTATACTCTAATATCTGCTATGTTTAATAATATTTAGTTTAACTAATGTCATTGTTGAATATAATTATGTTATAAAGATGATATGATTTGATACAATCAGAGATTGTTTATTGCTCAATTTTCCATAGCCTTTTTTAATAATGTAATTGTTCGAGGTTAATCATATTATGATTAAATTGGCATAATTTTAAGCATCCATGAAAGATTCTTCACAAAACAATAAAGAATATTTAAGTCTTAGATATTATTTGGAATCAGAGAAAAGGGCCAAATTAATTAATTCTAATTCCCCTAATACTGACTCCTCAGAGTGATCCATAGGAATAAATATAGATTCATTAGACATTGATACATTTTTTTAGTGGATTCATTCTAAATTTTCTTATCTATACAGGGAGAGAAATAGCACTGACCATCCTAGATAATTGTGAGGATTAAAATTATATTCATATGGGATAAGAGTGTGGCTCAGTGGAAAAGTAATTGTTTAACTGGCAAAACAGTAAATATTCAACAAATACTACATATTATGATTATTGTGATAATTAGAAATCAGAGTTATGACTTGCATTCTAGAATATATGATGGAAGAAAAACTAAATAGGGATTCATAAAAGGTTTAGAGAGATTTTGGTAGTTCTTTCCACATTTCTATGTAACATACCAATTATACATAAGTGAAGTGTTCTATAACAGATATAAATGATTCTGATAAAGGTCAATGTCCTTAAGTTATCCTTTAAAATCTAATAATAGCCAATAAATCAAAATCCCCCATCTGACCCATAGGCTTGATTGTACCATATTTACCGAAGTACTCTACAATAACTATTAGAGTTACAAGATGTTTCACATAAAGAGTATTCCATATTTAAAAGTTTGGGAAACTGAATTAAAGCAATTTTTTTCCTATGGAACCTCTTAGAGTATGTACTATGCAAATGGGCATTGCAAATTGGCAATATTTTCCAAAATTATTGGTATATTAAATCATGTTCCATTGGTTCTAGTAAGGGAATCACTGAAATATACTTTGGGAAACAGCAAGGTGCTTCCTTTCAGACCCTGAGACTATATAACATGCCACTTTAGAAAATAATCTAGCATTAAACTTCTGTTATTTGTAATAAAATTGTTAAGAAGAATTTTTTAACTTAAAAGACATCAAAACTTAAGGGAAAAAAACGTTTTCACAGTACTACCTAAACTATCTACATTTTGGCATACTATGTATGACTTTTTCTCTAACTATTAAACTGTCAAAACTCACAAAACACCACTATCAGAACTTATGATCATGAGAAATCAACCTAAAAAGTATAAAAGCATTTGTGGACTCTAGATTCTGAAAATTCCACAAAATTTATTTTGGATAGAATTACCAATACACTTAAATTCATGTAACAACACCTAATTAATGCCCAGTGATTCTTCTAGATATATCCTTACTTATCTTCCTCCCATTCACTACAACAACTTCTTGATAGTTATACTGTAGACTTTTCATCATTAAATATTAAATATTAATATTCCTTGGTATTCTGTCCTAGGCTGTCATCTATTATCATAAAACCCATGATAATGAATTTAAAAGCCCAGAGGAACAAGGCAGGTATTGCATATGAACAAGCTGAACTGTCCCAGGATAAATGTTTTTAAAAATATGCAATAGTGGAACATTAGAACAAGTAAGAATAAAACAGCTCATAACTGATTATATTGAAAACATAAATGAAAGTTGGAAATTAATAGTAGTAGTGTGTAACTATCACATTAATGTCAATCAGTAGCCACTGTGGAATGCATCAAAATTAAAATATGTATATATACACACACACACATAAAGAAAAATAAAAGAACAATATGCAAAGATTGTATTCTAGAGCAGTACTTAATGTAATGTGGGAGGGACAACTATCTCGAATAAATGACCCTTTAGATCAGAATAAAAGAAATGTTGTAACAAGAGTATAACTAGTAACAACTTCCCTATCAAGCAATGTACATGCATATTAAACATAAGAATTAGAAAATATTTATTGTAAAGGCCAAAGTCAAGCTTCATAACACCACAATGTTTTAATCAGAATTTTGGAGAATACTTTGGAACTTGTTATACATATGAGAGAAAATGAGCTAGCCTCAAGTCAAACATATCTTATTAAGGACCTAATAATACATAGAGAACATAAACATTTGTTACTCAAAAATTGCTTTATGAATAACCCAGGATAATTGCTTTTCAATTTACTAAAATAGATGGCTTAAAATTCCAAAAAGTTTCACATTTGGCACATTTCATGATTTATATGTGCAGAAACTTAAATATTAGTGCTTAAAGCCTGAGCAGTGATTACTATCGACCACATATCAAAAAAAAGCTGTGTGTATCACAAAATGAGAGATTTTGATAAAATGCTGCTACCAGTATTAAAAAAGTATTAAAAAGCATTATTAAAAAGCATGTGCATTGAACATGAAAATTTTTACATAAAACAATTCATTCCCACCAAAAGTGGTTACACCAGAGTTGATCATAACACCAGATGCTTTCCATGTTTAACCTGTGGAATGATCCTATTTTAGCATCAAACTAGATATGCGTGTGTGTGTGTGTGTGTGTGTGTGTGTTTGTGTGTGTTATATGGAAAACTTCAAATTAACATATTAATACTACCAAATCTATTTTTTAAATCATTTAGGGTTTTATTTTGGCTGAAATTTTCATTCAAATTAATTATAAAATAGCAATAGATGTGTCAAATAACTCTCATCAATATAATTACATAACTATATAAAGTATTTAAGCCAAATAAAATTATATTCAAATTCAAACTTACAGTTCAATTGCCTTGTTCCACATGATAACATATCCAGAAAGAATGAAAGATTCAATATTTACAATATGTGTATTTCCTCTTTCTGTTCCAACATAGAGCCACTTACTCTGGAAAGGTAGATGACAGTAAGTAATTCTGAAAGAAAGAAAATTATAATTAAAATATCTAAATTTTATATCTGCTCAGCAATATCTTTTCCTTATAATTATTAGGTATTGATAGCTATGTATACCATAAGATTTACTATATGCTAAATTAGTATTTAGTTATTAGTAAGAAGATATGGAATAAATAACATTGGATATCATTAAAAACGATAATCACAAGTGTCTATATATATATGAATTTACATTATTTCTTTTTAAAACTTTTAACATAAAAGTATATATTAATAAGGTATCGTGTAATAGTCAATACATGTTTACACTGAATAATGTTTAAATTAGGGGAAACACCTATTCCCTCAAACATTAATCATTTCTTATGGAGAATAACATTAAAAAATCCTTTCTGCTAGCTTTGTGAAATGTACACTACATTTATTGTTATCTGTAATCATCAATCTGTACATTAGCACCCCAGAGTTTCTTGCTTCCATCTAACTGAAACTAAGTATCCATTAGTCAGCCTCTTCATATTCCTCCCTGCCTTCTGTGTCCCAGCCTCTGGTAATCACCATTCTATTCTCAACTCCTATGAGAAAATAGCACTACAAAACAGATATATATTTCTGTTTTATGAAGAAGAAACAGAGGCAGTTTTTTTAAAAATTTTACTTGTCTAAGACCAAAATTACCTCTTTCTACTAGGCCATATTGTTCATTATTTAGATAAGATTAACTTCAAATAGAAATTATGTACATATAAAACATAAATTTCAGAGTTCACAGAGAAGTGGTAGCTATATCAACATAAAACTATAAATTATTTACAGTTTCCAAATATGTAGCACTTTCTAGTAAAAAGAAAACTTGAAAGGTCAGAGATCCACTGTATTCTTCCATAACTCTTATTGTTCTCTTGTTTCCCCAAAGGGCTTTCTGACCAGCTTTGGGATCTGCTCCATAGCCAGAGAAACCAGGACTCTTACATAGTAAATGCAGGAGTTTACCAGAGTCTTCAATTCACAACATAATCAGACTCTCTAGTTTGGCCTAATTGTACTCGGTAGTACTATGTCTTAAAACTTGAGAATGAGAATAAGTTCACAGTTATTTCTTGCTAAAATATCTTGTTGATTAAAAGGTCCTAAAATTTACTTAGAAGAGGAGTCAGTAAATTGGCAAAAGAGCTGAACAAAATTCTGACACTAAACAGATCATTTTTTTAAAAAAAAGAATGTGAATGATCAATTTATCTTGTAACCATTTGGAATCTCCAATTTATATTCTCTGTTTTGTTCCCTGAATTTTTAAACAACTTCCCTCTTGTAACTAAACTCCACCTATTCAAGTATCCTACTGATAACATCCTACATCTAAAATGCTAAAAGTCCTGCAATTAGAGTTAACTGACAATATCGTTAATGTGTAAACTGTAAGACACTGGGCAATTTTGATTAAAACTTAACGTCTAGAACTACTGTCMACAAAGGGATATCTAATAACAATGCATAGGAAATAATATGATGGTCATGTTTCTAGGCAATGAAAGGTTAATTTTCAATTCAATCTTCAGTAGGAAGAGGAGGAAATTCATTTCAAAGAGGATTTAAGATCCTCTTTTGAATCACAGGAAGACTATAGAAAATCCACAAATGAAGACATAAATACAGAGTTTCAAATAAAAACAAAGGAAGATTCAATATTACATGTATATTTCAGGGATTAACAAGAAAAGTCTAAGAACTCTAGTTTCAGAAATGAGAATTGAATCAAGAGGTAGAATTCCAGTGTAAACAGACTTTGTAGTACAATAACAATTAAATACATGAAGAAGATCATAACAAGAATAGAAATAATCCTTGAACGAACAACTACATTGTTTTCTGGTCTAAGGAGAAACTAGAGCCTTAGTGACAAAAAGGTGTCACCTTCTATACAACGTCCAATGTAAATGTAGTGATTAATTTGACTATTTAACAAAGATTTCTAGGCTACCAGAACTAATTAGAAAAGAGTAGTGTGATGTACTTAGGATGATTGACATAGGTAAGGGAGAGGGCATGGTTATACTTATGCTGTATATTTGATAATCCTAATAATTGATATCTTTATATAATTTAATTATATTTAATAGTTATACCTTAATATGTAACTTATTTCTACTACTACCACTTGCTGAATGAAGAATTTTTTGTAGTTGCTACATGTGAACCTTGAAAATTATTCTTGTTTCTATGTTTGTATTTTCTCATTTTATAATAAAAGGACATTCTTAATCTTCCATACAGTCATCTATTCAACTTTCACTGAATAACTCTTAATATAAAGCATTGTTCTATATTATGACACCATATTTCTTTTCCCTCAAAAATCATACTACCTAATGAGAAATGAAATAAGTAGACAAATAAGAAAAATAAGAGTAAAGTGTGTTGATTTTTATAGAGAGTTCAAAGGGAAAATTTATTACAGCAAGGAAAATCGAGGAAACCTACTGTAGCTCCATTTGAATCAGACCATTAGAGACCAAAGCACAATAATATATATATATATAACCTTGCACAATATATATACTATATATATATATATATATATATATTGTGCTTTGGTCTCTAATGATCTGATATGTGTGTTTATATGTGTGTGTGTGTGTGTGTGTGTGTGTATGTGTGTATAAAGCTAAAATAATGTACAGACCTTTGAAAACTTTTTTCTGATCTTCAATTTGACTTACTTTTAGAAATTCTATAACTTATGTAAGAAATAAGATCTAAATATTTCATACTTCTTTATGCCCATAAAAAAATACAAAAATAAGACAGAAATAAAACTCAACTAAAATTTAAATTAATAACATTAATATGACAGTTGAATTTTTTTATAACCTCACGATATGGAGCAGTTCCATTATAGAAGTATAAGAAAGTCATTGATTTTTGCATGTTGATCTTGTATCCTGCTACTTTGCTAAATTTTGTTTTATTGACTCTAGAAATCTTTAGGTGGAGTATTTTGGGCCTTCTGAATATAGACTCATGTTGTCAGCAAATAGAAATAATTTGAGTTCTTCTCTTCCTATTTATCTCCCTTTGATTTCCTTCTCTTGCCTGATTGCTGTAGTTAAGAGTTCAAGGACTACAGTGAATAGGAAGGGTGAGAGGGAACATCCTTGTCCCTGATTTTAGAAGAAATGTTTTCAGTTTTTTCTCTCTTCAGGATAATGTTGGCCTTGGGTTTTTCAGATATAGCCTTTGCAATGTTGAGGAAAGTTCATTTTATCCTAAGTTTCTCTAGTGTTTTAAACATGATGAGTGCTGGATTTGTCAAATGCTTTTTCTGCATTTATTAATCATGTGATTCTTGTCCTTAACTCTTATGTAATAAACTGCAAATGATTTCCTTATGATGAATCAACCTTGCATTCCTGGGATGAAACTCACTTGGATCAAAATTTACTACCTTCTTAGTATGTTTTTGAATGTGCTTGTCCAATATTTTATTCAGAATTTTTCATCTATATTCATCAGGGATATTGTTCTGAAGTTTTCTTTCCTTAATTTGTATTTCTCTGCTTTTGGTATCAGGGTAATACTGGCTTCATAGGATGAATGCATTGTTTTCTATTTCACTGAATAATTTCAGGAGGAATGGTTCTTCTTTAAAGGTCTGGTAGAACTCAGCTCAGAATTGGCCCAGTCCTGAGCTTTTCTTTGTTGGAAGGCTATTGGTACTTGCTTCAATTTCATTACCTGATGTTGATCTGATAGTTTTCAACATCCTCATGGTTCAATTTGGGTAGATTATATGTCTAGGAATTTGTCAATCACTTCAAGATTTTCTAGCATATTAAAGTATCAATTTTCAAAATAGTTACTGATGATCATCTGGATTTCAGTAGTGTCTATGGTGATAGTTCTCTTTTCATTTATAATTGTATTAATTTGAGTCTTCTCTCTTTCTTTTGTTTAAGGATTAGTTTGGTTAAGGGTTATTAATCTTGTTTATCCTTTCCAAAAACCAACGCTATTTCACTGACCTTTTGTATTGTTTTTTATTCTCAATTTCAATGACTTTGGTTCTAATATCAATTAGTCAATTATTTCCTGTCTTCTACTTTCTAGGCCTCTGAGGTATAATGTTAGATTATTTATTTGGTATCTTTTTTTTAATGTATGAACTCAGCACTATAAACTTTCCTCCTACAACTGCCTTCATATAGTCCCAGAGATTTTGATATGTTGTATTACTATTCTCTTTAATTTTAAGAATTATTTTAATTTTTAAAATTTTCTCCTGATTTCTCTGCTACTCATTCATCATTCAAAAGTATATTATTTGATCTCTATGTGTTAGAATGGTTTCTGGGTTTTATCTTGTTATTGTTTTCTAATATTATCCCATTATGGTGTGACAGAATTTAAGGGTAAGGAATTCTCTCTCTCTTTTTTTCATATTTGCTAAGATTTACTTTGTTATCTAAAATATGTTACATGTATTGCTGAAAATAAAGTGAAATTCAGTTATTCAAGGATGAAATATTCTATAAATGTCTGTTAGATGCATTTTATTAATAATATTTTTTTTAGTTCTGAAGAATATTTAGTTTATTTCTGCATCATCTATCAAGTAGTGAGAGAGGTGTGCTAAAGTCACCCAATATTATTGTATTGTGGTCTATTTAATATTGAGAAGGATTTGTTTTATGTAGTAGATGCACCATTGTTTGGGCCAAAAATATTTACAGTCATTATAACTTATTGTTAAATGATACCCTTAACCAGTATGAAGTATCATTCTTTGTCTCTTCTGATTAATTTTTGCTTGAAGTCCACTTCGTCTGATATGAGAAAATAGCTACTGCTGCTTGTTCACAGGTACCATTTGGTTGGTATGTCTTTTCCCATCCTTTTACCTTCAGTCTGAGGATGTCATTGTCTTTGAGTCTTGCAAACAACACATTGTTGGCTTTTGATTTTTTAATCCAATCTGCTGATCCAAGCCTAGATGGCTGATCCAAGTTTAGATGGTTTACATTGAATGTTAGAGAGAAATAATTTTTATTTCCTGCCATTTTGACTTATTTCTAGTTTTTACTTCAGACTTGCTTCTCAAGTAATTGACTATTCTTTACTATAATTCATTCCTATGCTGGTTTTCATTTTTATTTTCATTTCTTCTTCACACAATATTTCATTGAGATATGGTGTATATTTTGTGGTTGTGAATTCTTTTAGTTTCTTTTTTATCATGGAAGGTTGTCAATTCTGAAGATAATTTTGCTGGGTATATTAATCTTGGTTGACATCCATTTTCCTTCAGTGATTCATATGTATTATTCCAAGGCTTTTAGAGTCTGGGTTAAGAAAGCAATTGAAATTTGAGTTGATCAACCTCTAAATGTGACTGTCCACTTTTCTCTTGAAGGTTTTAAAATTCCATCCTTATTCTGTATATTAGACATTTTCATTTTAATGTGACTTGGAGTAGTTCTATTTTGATTCTGTCATATTTGGAGTTCTTAGATTTGAATTTCCATCTCATTCCAAAAATTTGGAAAGTTTACTAATATTATTTCATTGAAAAGATTATGTATTACTTTATTTTGTATTTCAGAGTCTTCATCTATCCCAATGATTCTTAAATTTGGTCTCATGATGTTATCCCAAATTTCTTGAAAATCCTGGTCATGGGCTCTTAATATCTTTTCTTTATGGTCAATATTATTTTCAAGATTATATATTTTATTCTCAAGGCCTATTCATACCTGTAATCCCAGCAACTCAGGAAGCTCAGGCAGGAGGATTGCAATTTCAGGGCTAACCTCAGAAACTTAACAAGGCTAATCAACTTAGCAAGACCCTCTCTCAAAGGGTTGGGATGTCACTCAGTGGTTAAGTATCTCTGGGTTCAATCACTGGTACAAAAAGGGGTTGGGTAACATAAATGAACCAGAATATTCCCTTCAACATTTGAATTGTGAGGGGGAGAAAACACACTCTGTCAATCCACAAAAATGTTTAGGGTCATATCTACTTAAAGCATTGAATCAAAGAGGGGAAAAACCCTTATCAGCACATCGAGATAAAATATGGGAATGTGAATAGTTAATATTTTTCACTATTAAAGAAAAAGCCATATACTAATTCTGAACTTGTCTTAAATTTTTCAATATCCTGAAATTTCTACCATTTAACTTTTTTTAAATAAAAAAAGTAACAAATTTTTGGTCTCATCTTAAGAAAGAAATACTATGTTGTTTTATCAAATATCTAAAATATATATTCCCCTTCCCATAAAAAATACTAGATATTAAAAAAAACTTCCCATTGATGTAGAATCCTAGAATACTGAAATATAAAATCATCAATATTACCCAGAATAATGAGGGTTAATGACTTAGTATATTACACACATAAAAGAAATAAATTAGAAGTACAATGAAGAATGCATGTATAATTTCCATGATTTTTTCTCATTGTATCTATAAACAACAAGTTAGGGTTAGAGTATAGGATCAAAAGGTATAGAAATACATTTATTATGCATTTGCCCTTTAAATGTTAGTCTGTGTTTTCAGTACCATCGTGCAAAGAAAAGAACATGTCATTGCTGGTTTACAACTAAGAGAACAAAATACTTAGGTAGTTTCCATTACTAGGTGATTGAATCTATATCAATTATATATATTCTAATAAAAGAAAATATAAAAAGAGCAAGCATACACATTAAATTGTTTCTAGCTATTGATATTAATAAAGAAAAAGCCAGTCAAGTTAATGTGAAACTTGCTCAATAAATAATTTTTGTACATTGAGTTCTTTAATTGATATATTCTTACCGTTCTCGGTTAAATTTAAGAGAATGAAGAATAGCTGGTCTTTTTTGTCTAAGGTTCCACAAATGAAGTGTATCATCTGAACTTGCACTGACCAAAGCACCCTGTAACAAAAAGAATACAAAGTAAGTGTGGGATTTACTTAATTTAGGGAAGTAGAAACAGTAAGCAAATTTACTGAATTTTCACTGCTTCAGGAGATATTTGTGTCTTTAAAACCTAAAAATATATGGAAAGACAATTGCATATACTTCAATCAGGAAGGTTACAACTGCTGAGAACAGAAGTGATTTATTGCATATGGATGGTCAAGATGACTAGATCAAGTAATATTTACTAATAGAAATAATCAATATAGCATCACTGGAACTAATGAAGGCTTTTTTGTATTTTTTTTTAGAAAAAAGTTTAGATTTTTTGTTTCTACCATTTACATATACATTATATATATAAAGAAGCAGATATCCAACATAGTTTTGTAAATCAAATATATAGTTTATATAAAAATTCTCTTCTGTAAGAATTTTCTTTATGGTTTAAAAAGTTTATATTCTTACTAAAAAGTATATTTGGTATAATTTAATCTGCTTCTTATACAATAAGAAGCTTTACCTAGTATAAAMAAAAGTATATATAATAAAAGAATTTCTCCAACAGAATTCAGTATATTTATAAAAATAATTCCAAGATTCTTTTTATCTAGCACCAGCAAATACATATTAGTCCTGTTTGAACTACAATAGAATATTTTCTACTTAATAAGGCAGAAATGATATGGATGGATACTGGCTGCCATATTTGTGGTGCATATATATATATATGAATATATATAAATTATATGTATAAAGTTATACATATATATAATTTAACTATTTCACTGAGTTAAGTAACATCATCTTAAAATATATCAGAACTTTTACTAAAATGATAGTTTCACAACTGAAAATGTCTAGGTGTGCCCTATGGTTGAACCTAAAACTACTCTAGATCTACGTTCTCTAAAATTTATCTGGCAGAACTATGGTAGTTCTAAGATACCTAAAATGCTTCACATATTTTCCCAAGTATTTTATTACAAGTAATCTTTCAAGAGTTTCCAATATCAGTCATCAGTATAAAAAATTGTCTCATTTATATGCTAGGAAAAACTATATTGAAATTCCTAGCATTGATTATTTCTTTTGGAGTTAGAAAAAAGATCATAGGAATCTAAATGTCCTTTTGAAACAGTTCTTAAGCCTAAAGCATGCCTGTACCCTATGATGTTTCCCTCTATATTATGTACCTGTGATTTTAGTCTTTGAGAGAAATAGCTTTATTTTTAAAAAGCAATTATCGAGCATATTTGTACATTTTTAAATTTTATATAAGTTGCATATGTATACATAAATACATAAAAACACATGTACCAAGGGAAATATGTTGATATACACACTTTAGCATGAACTCATAATTTTATACCATGCAATATAATATATCCTATACATACCTTGAGAATTTCTTTGTTTACATGCTTTATTTGTAAACTTTTTATGCACTTCCTATGCATAAACTAGAAAGTTATTGGGTTTGCTTGAAAGTGCTTAATAACCTATAACTGATTTTTTTAAAAAAATAGACATTTATCTCATTTCTCATAGAGGTGGAAGTTCACTTAGGACAGGGTAAGAAATAAAGATGTTATACAAAATTAATAAAATGTGTTTTATATTAAATTGTTATGTGCAAACCAAAGATATAACACATCAAAACACAGCATCATATATTCAATAATATCTTAGTGTAATATCTGATTGAATCTATGAAGAATCTGAGTATTATTAGTAATGATAAAACTGGGATGTAATATCATTAAACCATTGAGCATAACAGTACTAACAGAAGACCAGACACATGAAAGTATGCACATCAGCGAGTATATAAGGCTCATTTACAAAAGCATCAATCTTTATTAGCAAAAGCATTATTTATTTATAAAAATCTGTGATGATTTAAAACTGCAAATAGCCATGAGATCAAAACCTGGGAAGTATCAGAACATAATTGAGTGGGAGGTAAATCAGGATGAATAGTTTATGATAAACACTGTAAACAATGCAGGGCGTATAAAAACTCTATTTTCTCCTAGTTATGTAGTATAGAGGCAAACTTAGATCCTTCAAGTCAATCTTCAGAGTATCAAACCTAGAACAAATCATATGGAAACAAACTATGCCTAGTAGTATACTTCTGTGCAGAAGGCAAAGCACTAAGATTCCATAATTAGGAACTACAGAGTAGCACTGAGAACCCAAAATGGTTGACATTCTGAATAATAATGATTAGTTATCATAATAAAATATTTTTAAATGTCTCCACTTTTCCTCCTTACCTCCCTCTCTTTTTTTGGTACCCCATGGCAAGTGTGTCTACAAAGTTTAATATGCTAACTTTGTTGATAAGGAGTATCTCATAGTCTCCGGGAAAGATTTTAGGCCAAGAGAAATAAAAAATGGACATGTTTCAATACCACAATTATTTTCTTGCCTCAAGTATTTCTTATACAAAGTTCTATAAGACATTTTACCTATGTGTATCATTATAAATTGTTAGTATGACACATGCAAATATATGCAGAAACTGAATAAAAGGGCATCATCATGCTATGAAAAAACAACCAACTTTTTACAAGGCACTGAGTTTAATCTCTGAAGTGCTTGAATTTGGTATGGCACAAACTTTTAAAGTATTTTTGCACTGGCCGGCTCACTTAACATAAAGTAGCTATTTAAACTTTAGGATTCACTGTAAAAGATCTGAGTCAAGCAGACCATAAGTAACCTTCAACATATGGAAGATATGTAATTTTTCTGAGTTGATAAATACAATTTTTTTTCTAGAAAGTGTCTCATCATTGTAGCTCTAGAAAAATAGGGATAGGTACATTACCATAACAGATATGCATACATAAATAAATAAAAATGAAGACAAATCAACAACTTCATATGGAAATAAAAGATAATATATAAAGATCATGCATATGATCTGAATATATATATACAGATATATGCATATACAAAAATAAGGGCCCACAGGTAAATAAACAAGCTTAAATTTATTTAATTGAAAATAGAGGCAAAATAGGAGTTTACAGCTGGATTACAAAATTGAAATCCATAAAACGTCAGTTTAATGGCCAGTGAAATGATTGAAGAACCTTAGATTTTTTAAAAACACCAGTTAAGTAATTAATACAAATTATGTACACTACAAAATCACAATAAAAGGATCTTTTGGTACATAAATATTTGTCATTTTTTATATTTTACTTATTCTTCTTAGTTATACATAATAGTAGGATCCTTTAAATTTTAATAAATTGGCAACTATACGAGTATGCCCTTTTATGAAAAATGTAACTATAAATAATACTGCATACATATATATTACTTAGAATCATAATACTTAAAATACTATGTCTCTTATACATTGAACATCCCAATCCAAAAAATCCAAAACCTCATATGTAAATAAAATCCGAATTTTTTTGAGTGTCAACAAGATGCTACAAGTAGAAAATTCCACATTTGATATCATGTGACAGACTGTAGTCAAAACAAACATATTGAAAATATTGTTTAAAATTACCTTCAGATTATGTGTATAAGGAGTACACAAAATATTTTAAAGTGTCATGCTTATACTTAGGTCCCATCCCTAAGATGTCACATTATGTATATATGCAAAATATACAAAATTTTAAAAAATATCTGAAATTGAAATACTTCTAGTCCAAAGCATTTCAGATAAGGGAAACTCAATTTGTAATACTGTGGGTGTGGGTGTGTTTTAAATAGTAAAAAATCTATACGTGTGTGTCCAATTATGGGTGTACATATTTAAATAGTTAAAAAATCCTTACCTCATTGATCAAGAATTGTAGCTGCAAGACAGCTGCACCACTTTCATGTTGGCAATAACAATCAACACCAGGTCTCCCAAGTCTAATATAATAAAAGTCAAGGACTCTAACATTTTAATTAAAATGATTATTAAAGTGTAAAATAAACCAACTTATTTAGCAATTAGTGCTTTGCTTTTGAGTTACCCTTATTTTTTACATAAAGAGTTGAAAAGTTTTATTTCAGTTCATGCAAATTAAATTATATATGACAGATTTTAAAAAGCTGGGAAAAAAGAATGATAGTAAAAAATTAAAAAGGAGCATTTTCTTTCCCCAAAAGTAAAAACAAGGATTGAGAATTCAAATACATTTAAGATTTTACTGATTAAATACTTCTTTTCCTAAAATAAGTATGAGTAAATTATTTTAATGTAATAAATGAAATTATAGTGTTAATAAAAAATAAATATGTAAGTAAATACATTAATAATATTGGTATATACAGAACCTTGGTAAGCATAATTTAAATCCATAGTTCATAATAAACAGATTGATATATTTGACTACATAAAAATATAAAATTTTGCATGGAAAAAGTACCATAAATAAGATTTAAAAAACAATGAAATGTTGGAAATAGTAACATATTTTAAGAATCATTATATGATTATGTAAGTCAGAAAGAAAGGAGAGAAGATGGAGGTAAGGAAAGAGAATAAGAAAACCTAATGGTACAAAATTTACTTACATATTCTATGCCAAATGATATATGTCTCTATGTTTATGTATCATTTGTTTCTTTTCATAAAGATGTAAATTACATGAGACCTTCTACTCCAGCTATAATGAAAAAACGGGCCAAATCCATCCTTCCACATAAACAATTAAAAGGCATAGACAAAATTCATATAACTATATTTTAGACATTACTTATCATGTAAGGATGATGGTGATTCCTGAAAGAGACAGAAAATGTATTATGAGCCTTATGATTTCCTTGCTTACCTATAGAGTTTCCAGGCCAAGGACTGGGATGGGGAAGCCAGATGGAATCCGGCAGATTCACTTCATTGAGAGAGAACTAATTCTAGGTTGACCAAGGATAACTGGGGCTCACAGACAGAGCAGCAAAGAAGAAAAACTGACATAGAAAGGACCTTCAGGAAGATCTTCCTTGAATATTTAGCAAAGTACTGATCAGGGAATAGGTTTGAGCAAACCACCTTAGATTGGGGAAAGAAAAAAACCAAGAGGAAATAATGTCTTTCTTGAAGACCAAATCAAGACAAAAACTAACAAGTGCTTCTTAAAGAACAAATCAAACAGGGAAGGAAAATAGTAAATTAATGGCATCCACCATATAGTAGGTATTCCCTGAAACCGAATCAAAACCAAAGTGCTGAGACTGAATGAGGAGAACGGAAGATATGGGAAAGAAATGGAATGCAACTCAGAAAGTCAGCAATCAGGTGAAATCTAGAAATATCAGTTTTCATAACAGTGAAAATAATAAAAAAAAAAAGACTGCCAGCACTGGGCATATTATGGCTTTGTTGGGGGGGTGAAAATGGGGGAGCTCCCCTCCCCAGAAAGTTTAAGAAAAACAAGCTCTACTGTCCAGCAAAACCAAAATCTGAGCAGAAGAGAGGCTCAGATACTGTGAGATGAGCCAGTACAGAAGAGTCCCAGGACTTCCCAGTAGATTTAGTGAAAGTGGGAAAGCAGACCAGCTTAAAAAGTGCCTCATTATTTAAACATTCTGCACAAGAAATAAGAAATCCCTGTAGTTTTCTAATGTTACATTTTATTTTATTTTTGTTTCTTTTTTCATTTATATTTCTTTTATTTTCTTGGTTTGTTTTCTTTTTGTGTGTCCAACAGCCAAAAGTCACCTATGCTTTACTTCTCACTCTTGCTTCTCTCGGTTGATGACCAAGCCTTGAGTCAAGAGACTGTGGCATGGATCCACAGGAAGTTCTTTCTGGGTGACAACAGGAGACAAGTCTACTGGTCTGTGGATCCATAGCACAGAGAAAGGCAGGAGGATTCTTGCTTCTGAATTTGGCAGTAGAAACTTTGTGATAATGAGAAAGTCCCATGGGAAATAGAAGTATGATGGGTCCAGTTTGGGTAAAAAGCAGCACAGTTCAGTACAAGCAATCCTGGCCAATTCCTCCATGCCTAGAAGTGCCTGGTGGATATAATGATACAATCTAGGTGCTTCCCAAATGCACACACCCCAATACATTACCTAAGGCTCTTCGAATAAGACGTGTGGCATAACCTGGATTGTCCACAGGCTGCCTGGGTGAGGAATCCATCACAACAGACACACAAAAAAATACAGATGTCAAAAACATGAGGAAACAAGCCAATAAAATGCTCTGGAAAGTTTTTAACCTCCCAATAACTGACATAGAAGACACAGAAGACATAGAAGAGGGTGAAATGCTGGATTAAGAATTCAAAAAGTTGACTGTGAAAATGATCAAAGAATAAATAGAACAAGTAAGGAATGAATCAAGAAAGAAAACAGAAGATATGAAACAGAGATGCTGAAAAAGAATCAAACAGAAATCTTGGAAATGAAAAGCAAAATAAGTCAAATAAAAAACTCAATAGATGGGGCTGGGATTGTGGCTCAATGATAGAGTGCTCACCTAGCACTCATGAGGCACTAGGTTCGATCCTCAGCACCACATAAAAATAAAATAAAGATATTATGTCCACCTAAAGCTAAAAAATAAATATTTTTTAAAAACTCAATAGTTGAGCATACAACCAGTGAAACTCTACATCATGTACAACTGCAAAAATGGGATCCTTATTAGAATAAGTAATACTTCATGTGTGTATAATATGTTGAAATATACAGTCTAAAAAGAATAAAAGATTATTTTTTAAAAAATATTTTAAAACTCAATAGAAAGAAAAAAGATCATAGCCAAAATTAATGAAATGGAGATTATAAGAATAATATAAAGAATCGATGAACTGAAAATTTTTCTCTTTGAAAAAATAAATAATATTGATAAACCTTTGGCTAAATTAACCAAGAGAAAGAAGACCAAAATTAACTGAAATCCAGAGAAATATTAGAGATTAGTTTCCAAACTTTGGTTCAATAAACTGAAAAATCTAGAGGAAATGGATAAATTTCTAGAGACATATGATCTACCAAAATTGAACTAAGAGGAAATAGAAAATCTAAACAGACCAAGGAGATTGAAGTAGTAATAAAAACCCACAGAACAAAAAGCCCAGGACAAAATGTATTCATAGATGAATTCTATCTGATATTTAAATAACTACTATCAATGTTTCTCAAATTATAATTCCATAGAACAAAAATGGAAGAAACACTTCCAAACTCACTCTACACAACAAGTATCACCCTGTTACCAAAACCAGGATCAACCTGATACCAAAACTAGGATCACCCTGATACCAAAACCAGGTAAGGACCTTCAAAGAAAATTACAAGCAAATATAGACAAGGGCACTTCAAAGAAAGAAAACTACAGGCAAATATTCTTGATGAAAATAGATTAAAAATCTTTAATAAAATATCAGCAAGTATATTCATTCAACAACACATAAAAAGATCATACATCATGATTAAGTTGGTTTCATTCCAGGGATGTAAGGTTGGTTCAACATATACAACATACCTCATAAACACAATTTAGGGGGAAAAAATCATAGGATCATCCAAATAGATGCAGAAAAAGCCTTTGACAAAACTCAATACCTCTTCATGATAAAAACCATAAAGAAACTAGTGTTTCATAATTTGGGCTATATATAATAAATTCAAAGCCAACATTACACTGAATGGAGAAAAAGTTAACACATTCCCTCTAAAATTAGGAATAAAACAAGAATATCTACTCCAAAAACTCCTCTTCAACATCGTACTTGAAATTTTAGAGCAATTAGAAAGAGAAGGAAATAAAAGGGATAAAAACAGGAAAGAAAAACGTAAAAGTCTCCCTGTGTACAGATGATATGATCCTATACTTAGAAGAACCTAAAAGTTCCACCAGAAGACTTCTAGAGCTGATGAACAAATTCAGCATGAACAAAATCAATAGTTTTCTATAATTCAATAATAAACCTGCTAAAGAAGAAATCAGGAAAACAATGCCATTCACAATGGCTTGAAAAAGTATGTTTAAGAACAAATCTAGGAACATGGTAGAATAGAGAAATCACTTCCCTGTGTGCTCCATGGTGTAAAACTAAGAAAAGCAGACAGGCAGCTTCTCAGCAAAGTGGGTGAACAAACAAAAATTAGGGGGTACTTTACTGGAATTTAATATGGACCCTCAAAACAGATTGGGATCTCTAAAATAAGGAAGAAATTCCCAGCACTACAACCATGGCAGAGGCCAGAGGTACAAGCCAGAACAGTCTGTCCGCAAGTGGAGTAAAGCAACAAGGAAATTAAAGGAGCCCATGTTTTGACTGCAAATTGGTGCAGCCAATATGGAAAGCAGCATGAAGATTCCTTGGGAAACTGGGAATGGAACCACCATTTGACCCAGCTACCCCTCTCCTCAGTCTATACCCAAAGGACTTAAAAACAGCATACTACAGGGACACAACCACATCAATGTTTATAGCATTAAAATTCACAATAGCTAAATTGTGGAACCAACCTAGATGCCCTTCAATAGATGAATGGATTTTAAAAAATGTGGCATATATACACAATGGAACATTACTCAGCAATAAAAGAGAATAAAATCATGGCATTTGCAGGTAAATGGATGGAGTTGGAGAAGATAATGCTAAGTGAAGTTAGCCAATCCCCAAAAAACAAATGGCGAATGTTTTCTCTGATGTAAGATGACTGACTCATAGTGGGGTAGGGAGTGGGAGCATGGGAGAAATAGACAAACTCTAGATAGGACAGAGGGGTGGGAGGGGAGGCAGGGGCGCAGGGGATTAGCAAGGATGATGAAATGTAATAGACATTATTATCCAAAGTACATCTATGAAGTCATGAATTGGTGTGAACATACTTTATATACAACCAGTGATATGAAAAATTTGTGCTCTATATGTGTAATATGAATTATAATGCATTCTGCTGTC